TTTGAATTTTGAATTGTGTCGTTATTGCACAGGACCATCGATATGTACTATATGTATAGTTGCACATTAAAAATGTAGGAGAAATTAAATTGAAATAACATATTGTGATTGCGGAGAAATATTGACATGAACACGATAAACAACAAATTTTTTCTAAGAAGTTTTTGATGATCTACGCGGTACTTACAAAGTTGGGAATTTATATATTTAAAAAAAAAAATATTAATCTTCTATATACTTACGTCGCGTATACGATCAAATACATCATCCTTATTTGGTGGTGTTTGAGTGATTTTTAGCGCTGATTGATGAGATGCTGTTGCAATCACTGGCGCCAAAGTCGATCCCAATATTCGCATGTCTGTTGTCATTTCACAATTGCTGTTGTTGCTGTTAAGCATTTGAACCGTTGACGACTGAGGAACGAATTGTAGCATTTTGAAAGTTATGCATTGAATAAACGAGCATATTTTATATTACTTACGTTCGGCATCACATTTACAAAAGGATTTGACGTTTTTAAACTGTTTGTGCCGCTATTCGTCCCAAATGCTGTTTCTAGTGGCTGTGGCGGCTTATTTGCCATCGAATTTATTGGAACACATTTTCCTTCTAAAAGCAATGCGTTACGATAACCGTCCCCAATTTGTGTAGGGTCTGTTACGGGCTGAGTTTGATTCCCTTGTAGTGTACTATTGCCCAACGCAGTGGCGCTGCTACACTTATCTGGCATCAAACTATGTGTATTTGCTGTTAATGGAGAAGCAGGCGGCGGCGCTGTTATCGTACAGTTTGGCGACGATACGGAACTTATTATATTGGAAGTGTCCATGGGAGCAGAACTGGTTCTTGTGTTAATGCTGCTATTTTCTTTCGATTTAGAAGCTACTTCGACTTTTGTGTTTACGGCCATTGTGGAACTTCCTGATGACGCACCACTGTCGATTGCAGTCAAAACGCTCCGACTATCATCCACTGCATCAGCTGAAGTCATAATGGCATCTTCATCGGTATTGTTTATGTTGCTGGATGTTGTGTCGGCAATTCCACTACTGCTACTGCTGCTGCTACTTCCAGCTCCATCACTGTTGTTATTGCTATTGCTGCAATTATTTCCATTATGATTTAATATCGTCGACGATGATGGCGCAACATTGGTTGATGTGTTGTTGTTGTTGCTACCTCCAACGATGGTACAATTATTTTTATTTTTATTTAAATTTGTTAAATTACTTCCAACATTATTATTGTTATTGGAATTTTGATATTGGCTCTTCCATGCAGGCGCAATAACATCTAGAGGAGATTCTGGAACGGTCGCAGTTATGGAAGATGTTACAGTCTGTGCTGGATGACAATTAGAGCTGATGATATTGTTGCTCATCATTCGAATATTATGACCTCCATCCTTTATATTATTTATAGGCAGGTTTAGTCCACTGCTACCTCGTATGGGATGAGGCTGACCTGTATCTATAATCTTTGGCATTTTGGTCTCCTCAATGCTGTATGTGCAAGTTAATTCCTCCAATGCTGACAGACGCTTTTCTTTTCGCTTCTGTCCTAATTTTATCGCGAACTACAATAATGAATATATTTTGTTTGAATTTATGATTATAATTAGACATTTTTGCAAAGTTTAATTTACCTCTAGGTCCTCATAAGACTTGAACTCCAATATTGCAAAACCGTCAATGATCTCCTCTTCTAATACAGGTGAGCGCGGCAGTTTTCGACGAACAGGAGGTGGCGGCCGCGGTGGGGGTTTGTCGCGGGGCAAAAGGAGTGTCGAAGAGGAAGAAGTCGATAGTAGATCTTCATCAAGTGACTCTCCTTCACTATCGCTCGGAGTAGCCATTAGTCCAGAATTACACTCGGGTGAATGTGGAGGATTAAGAAGCAACGAGGCAATGCTATCAGTAGGAGGCATAACATTATTACTACCATTACTGCTACTTGTAAAGTTCCCATTGGAGTTGTTACTGTCCTCGCCCATGCTTCCTGCGCTACTGGCGTGGTACAATAGGCCGCTATTAGGGACGTTATTTGCAGTGTTAGCAAAACGGTTTTCACGTTCCGCTTGTAATCTTTGTGCTCTTTCGCGGCGCCTTTTTTGTTGCCTCTGCTGTTTGGCATTCAAGCCCAGATTGTTAACGGCAGTACTCGCTCCACTATTGTGACCATTGGTGGCAGGCAGAGTGTGATTTTGTTCTGCTGCAGCTGCAGCCTTAACTTTCGCTGACATGGTTGCTAAAGATTCCGTGTCCGAGTCTCCATCGTTATTGGTATTACTTGGACCAGCAACGGTGCCATATAATGCACGTACGTTGCCACTACAACCGCTAACGGATGTGCTTGCAGATGATATTGAACTTGCTAAAGGAGCAACAGCACCATTAATGCCACTAGATCCGCTGGTTTGTGGAGAAGGCGGTGGTAGATTCAATTGCTCCCCACTTCCAACTAATTGTTGATGCTGTCCATGCGGAACACTTGTCCCAGCATGAGTTGTGCTATTTGTTATTGAGCCCGGTCCAGGAGGCTTTAATTCGTGCGGGTCCATATTGTGCCAATTGTAAATGTTTAGCGCAGTACCCGCCTACGCCAACGCTACAATTAAAGCCTTGGTCTGTACGAAGAGTACTTAAGACCCTTTAGTGGATCTTTGACCTTTTACATACACTTCCAAAAGCATTGCGAACTGCGTTTCCAATATAGAATTTATTAGACTATAGTCGTATTGGAAGAAGAAAAGCAGTCAAATATCCTTTGGTTGGCAAAATCGATGACACCAAAAACTCTTACTGCTTTTTTCTTCCCTGCGTTGCTAATCGCGTCAGCAACAAAATCGATTATGCTTTCGCCGCTCAAGATAAATTTTTATTTTCACTAATTCTTCAACTTGACTTTCTGCTCCTTATATTTTTATTGATTTTTTAAGAAACTTTATTGTGCAAATTTTCCACTTTTCACACATTACTCCATACTCTTATTCACATCTTTGATGTGCCTTCATTTATTTGCTTTTCTCTGCCCTGTTCTGCTCTACACCACCGCGCTCCTTGCTGCACTTTCTACACTCATTTGGACCGAACACGACGAGTAACCTCCTCGAGTCGCTTGTGACCAAATTGTCAAAATGTTCTGTGACTTCGTATCGTTTATTGCCTTTAGTTTTCAACTGTTTCATATCTTCACATTTATCAAAAATTTATCTTTTATTTAGAAGCTTACAACTTTTCAAAATTCCGACCACCCTTTAAAAATTTTAAGCTTTGACAAATTTATTACACCAAAAGTCTTTTATTCGAAAATGTATGAAAATACATGTAAAACTCAGATTCATTCGTTTCATTGTCTCCTCTTCTTTTGTCTTTCTTGTTGGTTTTTTGATTTCCTCTTCTTTTCACTTGGTTCATCTTTGTTAACATTCTCTTAGCTTTTCATCTTTCTCATACTGTTTTTTTTATATTTTCGTATTCGTCGGACCTCCCTTTCTTGCTAGCCATCTATTTCATTTAGACATTTGGCTGACTTTAATTCACACGTTTGCAAAATTATTCTGTGCAACACCATTTGTCCCTGTCGTGTGTTTCACTTCATAACAGACGTTGGACAAATAGTGCATAGACAAAAACAACGAAGCCGGTGGAAAGTACAGATTTGGAAAATGCGACAACTGCACGTTCGGGGTTGCCATCTTTCAAAAAAACATTTACAATTAGCTAATTGGTTATCTCATGGAAAATATTACTGTTATGTTTGTGCATAGTAAATACGTCGTTTGCAAAGGATTAAAATTAAACACAAAGGAATAGAATCTTATTTGGTTTGGATATTAAATCACAAGTGGGTTTTCAAAATCCTATTAGACTAATTAATATATAACGAAAGCATTTTTTAAAATATATACTTATTACATATTCTGTCAAACAAAAAAAGCTCAACGCTATTTTATTTATGCACATTTCCTTCCACACATTCCTACGTTTGGCATTCTCTACTGTCCGCTTGTATGTATTTAAGAATGAACGACAAAGCAAACTACTTGATAAAACCAGACTTAAAATTTACAAAAAAAGGTGGAAGCGGACTAGCCTATAGAAAATGTATCAGGTAGGAGATCAAAAACAAACATAAATTGCTGGTGGGATTGACTGCATTAATTACACGAACTTTTTTGATTATAATGCAAATCTTTCAAATGATATTTTCTCAAATTAAGTATTCACTCATTTTGTGTATTTTTAATTCCACTTTGGCACTTTTTACGCACGCACGCACATTTTGCTATCCCGCTCACACCCACCACACGCACAGACGGAAAATTTGTAGAACGACTGCACCGAAAAGTAAATGTGAACTACAGAAATTTAGATTTTTCATCTCGTGATTACTTGTTAAAAGCGTACATTTCCCAATGAACTTTATATTCATATGATGGGGGAAGTATTTACTCCCAATATTAAGCACTTTTTAACGAAATATATCAGATTTATTAACACTTTTTAAACGATTTTTAGTCCAGCTATGCGATTTAATTCCACAGAGCAAACTCCCGATATACTAATACGCAGAGTTGCCAAGTATACAAAGTCAATATTCTCCAAAGATGGTTTTCTGTAAACTTACAAAAGTCTACAAAGAAGTAATTGATATAATGGCAAAATATGTATACGAAGTTTCTTTATTTAAACATACATTTCTTAAAGCTGAAATTAGTCAAGAACGTAAACCCGAGTCAGCTGACACGATCTGTCTTACCAAAGCGCCATGTAAATGAAAACTCAACACCGCACAATTTTTCTGTAGTTGTAGCCCGCAGCGCAGAAATCTGTGGAATTTAGATTTTTCCGTGTCAGCTGATTTCTTCTTCTTTAGATGATTGCCACTTCGTCAGTTTTACAGATGGTAAAAAAGTTATAAGTTCCTATTCAAAATATGTTTAAAATATTTGAAATTTACTATTGAATAAGGTTTTTGTTGAAAACTAAGTAGTTTATATTTAGCTAAAATCTATTATAGCACGAAAAATTGTAGTTGAAAAGGTAAGTTTATGAAAAGGGATTGATGAGTGGCAACAGTGTAGTAAGCAACACTGAGGGCTCCAGTAATCGACAAAATTCTGCGTATACAGACTGCGTTTAAGTATACGTTCTGCGTTCTCGACTAATTTCAGCTTAAACAATAAGAAACATACCCCTCACCTAGACCCTTGGGAACAAAAATGTTGCTCACCCAAATCTCTAGGCTGATCAGAGTACATAAATGCTAACAACCGCCCGATCGCGCTTGATTTCGAAAATGTACCAATGTTCGTCTTTGGAATGTGCAGTTTAAATGTTTTTTTGTATACGTATATTTGAAATACAAAATATTATTGCAGCTATCAGCGAAGAATACGATTTTTTGTTTTCGTTGTTGTTGTAGCGGCACTACTAAGCCCCGCCCTATTCGGTTAGTCCATCAATCGTTGTCGTTAAGCTGAACTAACGGTAGGCCCAAGGAATGGGCTGTTTCGAAGGGGTCAGACCAAAAGAGAGAGGTGTTAGTTGAGTAGGATTGAGCTGGCATATGAAGAGGTAGCTGGTGTCATATGCGGAATCTCCACATGCCGGATACTTACTAAGAACACGGGTCGAGGCTGAACCGGTAGCTGTTGAGACGGCTACAATATCTAGAGCGTAACTGGGCGAAAGTAACGCGAAAGTGTTTGGCTTCCGAATAACAGCATACACAATTTCTAAAAGAGTTTTTGGGGAGTGTTGCTGGAGTAACGTAGACCCTACTGCCTTGGGAACGATTGGGCTCCGAGTCGTTGTTGCTGTTGTTGTAACAGCATACAAATTCCCCAAAGAGATTTTGGGGAGTGTTGCTGGAGTGACAGTCCTTGGCCAGATATAAATCTGGGTCGTTCCGGTTACGTAGACCCGACTGTCGTGGGAACGTAATCGTGGGCTCCGAGTCTTGATAGGTGGTGACTGACTCCCTGTAAATGCTGTTGATCACTGTTCCGTAGGTCGGGTACAGTGGTTGGGCAATGTATGTCCGGACCGCATCAATGTACAAGAAAAGATGCCCTCTGATAAGTCTGGGGGACGATCCTGCGGCTGCGTATGCAGAGAAGGGTAGCAGGCTATCAAAGGTAACCCCTGAATTTTTGACTTCGGAATTGGTGTGCCATCAACGTGAATGCCTAGTTGAAGCCAGACCTCCTCGTGCAGGTGGTGAAGAAGGTCGCCGTTGATTTCGATGGGGATAGTGTTATGCTCCTTGAAGTGAAAAAGCAAGAAAGTTCGGAGAGATAGCCGTTTACTTTCGCACAGCGGTCATGAATTCCACTCCCAGACGCCAATATCGAACAATTCTCAACGTAAGAGATCAGGGAAATTCCCTCCGGTGGCTAAGGGAGTTTTTTTTCGTCGCTATGCTCTTTGTCGCTTTCCGCTTCCCTAGGGGTATTCCCAAGACGAATTTATACAAGGTGATACCAAGAATATAAAACCAACAACCAAATGTATTTTGTATAATACTAGGTTCACATATAAGTAGATTATCCTCATTTTCGAGCTTAACACCCTAATCTGTAATTATAACAAGAGATTATCCATATAAAATTCGTCCCTTGTTAATCTGTAATTATAAAATAATCTCAGATTTAACCGATAACTTTTCGGTGTCCGTCCTAGTTTTATCGATTGTTTTTGCGAAAGAGAGAAGAAATGCCAAATGTAAAAGTAAACAAAAATGTACGCTAGCAAGTAAAAGAGGTTTGTAAAGGTATTTTTAATAAAATGTTAAGTTAAAATATATTTATATTGCTTATTATAGCAGAAAAACGTGATCACGGTGGCACAGAGAAGAAACATAACTTTTCCTTGAGATGTGAGAATAACAAGCACAACAAATTTGACGGCTAATAATCTGAGATTTGCCTGTGTAAACGGGGTGATTAAAAAACGAGCTTTGATTGAGATAATATTGATATGTGAACATAGTTTTACGGGTGTTATGTCAAATCTCAATTCGCCCCAAAGTTTACATGTATTTTGTTTTTGCTTTTGATGCGTGTGCTGTCAAATCAGTAAAAGCAAAAACAAAATACATGTAAGGCGAAGAAATCAGCTGATCTAGCGACACAACCTTGTATACATTCGCCCAACTCTCAACTTTTCGCATGCGTCGTTTGTCAGCTGTTGCATATAATTGAAATTATGGGAAATATGTTTCCTTTTTTGTCAAATGCGGGCAGAAATATCATTTTTCATGCAATTATTGATACGCCAGCGCCAAAGCCAACGCGAAAGTTCTATGTGGATCGGCCTTTAGATAGATAGTGAGATAAATAGATAGATAGATGAGTAGAGTAAGAAATGCGACCAGTAGGTCTATTGTGCCCCGAGCTTATCACAACACTGAATCCAGCCTCAGAGACTCCAAGAATTTTAGAAGGGATCCCGGGGGCAGGGAATGTACATATGTGCTCTTCACTTGGCCATATATCGCACACCGTTTCAAAAGATTCGCAACTCAAAATTTGGAATTTTTGAGATTATGCGCTAAAAATGTACGCAAAGCTTTTATTTACCTTTCAGAAAAAGCTGGCGCAAATTTTTGTTATAATTTGTTAAAAAAACCTAAGGTAAAGTCGCCTCTGCCCATATGATTATCATGTGCTAAGAAATAGCTTCTCGCATTTTCTGACAAACGTATTATTTTGAGTTGTGACTATTTTGTAGACGGCATGCGATATGTCCTATGCACCTCTCCCTTCTTCGTGAAACGGCCTCACACTCAAGGAGAAGGTGCACTGGTGTCACAGTTACAGAAGCGACATAAGTCGCTTGACCATATTCCCAGACTAAACAAGTGGCCTCTGAGCCTGCAATTACCCGTCAAAATACCTGTTATTATTCTTAGCCTCTACTTGGGGAGGTTTATAACTAGCCTGTATCTCTTTCGATTTTAAACTCTAATAGGCTCTTGGCTTGACGAAGTCTCGCCAATGAAGTTCCCTCAGTTTGTTGTTTTCCTTGTTGAGCGCCTGTTGTTGTTGTTGTAGCAGCATACAAATTCCCCAAAGACATTTTGGGGAGTGTTGCTGGAGTGACAGTCCTTGACCAGATATAAATCTGGGTCGTTCCGGTTACGTAGACCCGACTGTCGTGGGAACGTTGTTGAGCGCCTCCTTTATCGTGCTGGGACCCACTGCAAGGAAAAGGGCTCCGGTCATATCGGCGTCAAGGCAGCCGCCAGTCTGGCCAGCTGATTGACCTCTTTGTTTCCCTCGGCACACATGTGCCCTGGTACCTATTTTAGCTGGATTGTATTGCGCTCAGCAAGGGCATTAAGCTTCTCGATGCATTTTAAGACCAAAGAGAATTTGACCCCGACGGGTATTAGATAATGAAGATAAAATTGGAAGCTGCGGCCCGTGGCACATGGTTTTCAATGTGTTTCAAGCATTAGGTATAATATATCGATTAAAAACAATATTATATCGTCTACCCTGTTATATCGATAAATTTTAATCTTTCCCAAATTCGGAATTCGGAAATATTCAAACGCAGATTATTTTGGGGAAAATATACCCTCTTTTGTTTATATTTACAAATAAAATGTTTTGGAGACGATGAAGCCGACAACGCGTAAAGTAAAAATCGGTTTAGTATATGTTATTTGACTATTTAAGATTTTTTAATCAATTTAGCGAGCTTGGAACAATTCGGCTTTTTCACATCAATCTACGTTTGAGACCTCTGCTGATAAAGAGGATGCGGTAAATGCTGGTAGCTGTGCTGATAACAAAAATGTAAACGTTAATAAGTCACCAACTCCTCAAAACCTTCAGGTATCCACAGTTGTATCTAAATCTTACAAAACTAATTCCAACTGGATTGATACATTCGAGCCAGTAAAAAGTGAAGATGTCGCGGTGCATCCGAAAAAACTGACAGAATTGCAAAACTGGCTTTTGCATTGTGAAGTCGTACGTAAACAGCATCCTGCACAGATATGCCTACTTACGGGACCATCAGGTTCAGGGAAGACTGCGGCAGTACGCGTTTTGGCACGGTCACTAAAATATGAATTGCAGGAATGGATTAACCCAGTAGACCGTGATTTAGTCAATACTTTAGGAGACCAAACAGCTAGCTACATAGGATCCCAAATAGAAAACTTTAAGTCATTTTTGTTTCGCTCCTCTCGATATAAATCCTTACTGGGCGGTGAAAAACGATTGGTATTAGTGGAGGACTTTCCCAACCTAATACTTTCAAGTGCCGAAACTCTTGAAAGTATTTTAGAGTAAGTAATGAACTTTAAAATTTGTATTATGGATGCTAAACAAATACCTATGTTTTTTAGTGAGTTTTCAAAGTTTGGAAAATCGCCACTTATATTCATAGTAACTGATTCAAAAACTCGTTCCCTTAATATAAGTTACAACATCTTCACCGAGCAGCTTAAAAATAAGTTTCATATAAACCATATTTCTTTTAACCCGATTGCGTTGACTCTTTTACAAAAGGCAATGAAGAGATTTTGTACCCTAATGAAGGAGCCGCAAATAGTAGATATCTACAAAGTCCCTTCGCAAAATGTTATAGACTCCATTATATTTGCCGCGCAAGGTGACATTCGCAATGCTTTAATAAATCTGCACTTTGGGTCATTGAAAGGTAACTAACGAAAAATTATAAACTAGTAAAAGAAATTTAACATTTTAAAATGTGTAAATTTAATATAGGAACTACGACTCTGCCTACAGAGCGTGTGGAGTCAGGTGATAATAAAGGAAAATCTAAGAAGCAAGTGTCTAAGCTTAAAACAATTTGGCGTGATGAATCGGTAACAATGATGCATGCTTTAGGACGAGTGTTTAACCCGAAGCGTAGGTATCCATTTTTATTTTCATTAAATCTATGTCGAAATATTTTCGAATTTGACCACTAACATACTTTTTGGTGTTCTAGGTCTACCTAACGGCAATTTCGTGCACACTCCAGAAGATATTAGCGAAACATTTGCTTCAGAACCAAAGCGTTTTATTGATCTTATACATGCTAATTATCTTCCACATTTTGCCGATATTGAACACGTTATTGAGGCAGCAAATATGCTAAGCATTTCTGATAACATTATCACCGAATATCGTGAGGAAACATTAGCACCCACAGCGTTGAATGTAGCTGTACGAAGCATGATGGTATCGAATAAAACACCAGTCAGCGTATGGATGCCAATTAGAGCACCAAAACGTCAACAGGATGCTTTATGTAAAGCACAGCAAATACCCAGCGTATCCAAAAATTTATATGCAACTGATTTTAATGGCTATGTTCAAATCATTAAAGGCCCAGGTAATATATATCATCCCGAACAAGCAATAAAAAATACATGATATGTGTTTATTTCGAATTGTGAGAATCTTATTTAGTAATATATGAGAGATTAAGTATTCGCATATTGTAATGTAGTAAAGTAGATTGATACCCTTCTATATGTTCTCAATTATTAATATTATGATTGGCCATTCCGTTTGCATAAACATTAATAGTGCGCCTGAAGAAAGGGTTGTTATCTTTTATAATAAGCATTTTGTTTCAATTTATTTATAAATCTTATATAGTTCTACGGATGTTGCAAAATAAGTTCGTTAACCTAAAAAATGCTTTAAATTTAAACACTTCATTGTAGAGTAAAACTTTCCACGACCTTTGTTGTGGTTAAACTCTCAACTGCAAAATAAATAACTTAAATCTACTTATAAAAAACGTGTAATGCATCGATTGAGTAGTAAATGCTGTTAAAGATAACATGATGAAATTATATGCAAATAAAAAGTAACTTATTCAGCGTAATTAACAGTACATAAAAATATTTAATTTTCATAGTTTAATAAATTATTGGCAACCCATATCTGCCATGAATAAATCGACTAGTCAAAATGGCACTTTTGAAAATATTGAGCTTTTAATATTTTGTCCATGACATTTTGATATTAGGCGCTCCTACCGAACGATCGTGTCCGATTCTTCGTGAAATCTACTGAAACGCTTCATTGAATCTGAATACCTACATGCCAACATAACTCATAAGTACTTTGAATAGACAAGTGTTCCTTTGCAACAATTTGGATGAAATGTTAGCGTTTTCTTAGATTTCATGAAAATCGGAAAACGATTGATTCACCAATAGCTCCGATTAAGTTATAAAATTATCAAAAAATGCTGCGTAGGGGATGTGTAGCTAAGTTATGTATGCAGATTAGACCACGTCAAAAAAAAAAAAAATACCGCAATGCGACCGGCATAAGACTCAAATTTTAGCATTTGGTATAGTAATGGTCCTCCATGAATCTCCCCTCTCTAGGACAATTGTAAGATCCGCGCGTTGAGCATTTAGTTTTCCCACCGGAAAAACACCTCAGAAATTGAGGTAAATATAATTTTCTAGGATCAATGAAAACGCTCGAAACTGTAAGAATACATACATTGATTACATGCCATTTAAGTAGTATGCATTGCTCAGATTCCTTAAATTAACAAAAAATAAAATAAATTTTATATACTTGATTTGTTTGACCCAAATAGAGCAAAGTATTAAAAAAGGATAACTTAGGAATTTAAATAATCTAATCCTGCATAGTACTTAAGTGACATGTAATCAATGTATTCTTATAGTTTCGGGCGTTATCACTGATCCTAGAAAATTATATTGACCTCAAAAAGTACTCATTTTCTTACATGAAATTCCTATGGGAAAACTAAATGCTCGACGCGTGACCTCTTACAATTGCCCTAGAGATGGGAGATTCATGGAGGATCATTACTATATCAAATGCTAAAATTTGAGTCTTATGCCGGTCGCATTGCGGGATATTTTTTTATTTTGACGTGGTCTAATGCACATGCACTAATATGTGTATTTATCAGTACTACTATCACAACTAATAGGTTGACATTTATAAGCAGCAGATCTCTGCGATTGATAAAAATTATATTTTTTGCTACTACACATTACAGCAACCAGGCTTTTTTATAATTAGCTTAAGTTATGAATGACTTTAGCAACTAGTTTTTAGTATCAAAATTAACGAGTTTCCCACCCTCCCCAATAAACACTTTAGCGTCGCTGCGGGCCACGGTCATAAAAGAGTAAATATGCTGGTACGCTAAGCACCTCCTCTATGGAAACTTCACGCACAACAGTGTCTGAGGTGTAAAACCAACTAGGGAGATAAAAAATAAACCAAAATTAGAACAATTTACGATGAAATGATCAATATTGCCTACCGATGTGCATTTCTCAAAGCTCCTCTACGGTAAGTTACGAAGTGGCCGCTGCTTGCTTCACCCGAGTGGACAACAACGGCTAAAAGTCTGTACAGATTTTTGGGAAACATTGCACCAAAAGCACTGCTATATGAATCCATGCCACTGCCACCCAAACTGTTCATGGGTAGACTAGAAGAGAAAAGTGACATTGTCGATCCCCATGGGGTGCCGGCCTGTAAAGATTTTTTTTTTAATGTACATACATACATATAATAAAAATTGTATGTTAATTTTTCCATTTGTTTTAGTATTTATTAGTTGTGATCGGGATTTGGTACTCACTTGACTATTCAAATGCGGCTGAACAAAGCTGTATGGTGCCATTGACAAACTTTCAGGAAAATGGACATAATCCTGGCGCTTACAAATTTGACCAGTTGGCAGCCATACTGTTCGGGCAATATGTATACAGAGACAACCCGGCAATTTGGCGAAAGTCAGTGATTTTGTGTGATTGGTGGTTTCATTACAGGATTCACATTTTACATCATTCAATTCTTCAGACGTTATGTATTCGCTCAACAAGTGTCCCAAGCTGAGACCTGATCGACGTTGAGGTGGCAAATTCAATGTAATGCTGTCAAACTTGTCATAACGTACAGTGGACTGGAAAGAAACGTTTAAAACGAACGTATGTAGTTATTTGTGATATTTTCTTCATACCTTAAATCCGCAGCCGTTGCATACAATTTGTGTGCCCATTGCACCTTGGAAAGGTATCGAAACTTGAGCTGGCATTTGATCGGACCAAATCTGTAATTATTAACTAAATGAGTATTGTTCGTTTTGAATATACCCGTTAAACTTACAGATACCCTTCCTGGACCACGACTTAGACGCTCTAAGGACCGACATGATGTGGAAACACGTTTGTTTAAGGCTTCAGGCCACTGACGCCTATTTATTTGTGCTGTACGTGCTCGACTAGCTCGTTCTCCACCCAACACTGGAGATGCTAGCGGATCAAACTCCATTACTTCAGTTGGAGATGTACAAGTACCTGCGCCCTCACCGGGGCACATCTCACGCTCGCATACTGAAGATGGTGAATCTGGTGTATGTGCTTCAGAACGTACCAAACGAGTTAAGTTAGTTGACTCATCGTAGTCGGTATTCAGAAAATCCGTTAACATAGCGCTTGATGGTCTGTTGGGTTGATCTCCATCCCCACCACCTAGGGTTGCGGGTAATGCATCTGAAAGACATCCCACCTTCTTTGGTCTCAAAGCCTCTTCTTCAAGAGACGCCAGCATTACATGGAATAGCTCATGGGCATCATGTTCTTCTTGTGGTATAACCCAGCCCAGAGCATGAAGGGCGCGCATAACAGCACCTGGAGAATAGGGATCCCCTCTCAGAGTAGAGTGAGTGCCATTTATTACTTCAAGAGTATTCAACAGGGATGATATCAGACTCTTCCGGTCCGAGTTGGCGTTGTTATATAACTGCAACCAAGCTATAAATTGGGGACAAGCGGCTAGTGACTGAAGCAACGTATTTAAAAAACAAGTTTGTCCGAAATTATGCAGCCCTGCAATTTGGCCCCTTCGTTGTCGCAAACGTGAGGAACCTAGAAGCATGCATAAATAAATGTATTAAAGGAAAAGGAAATTTGGGAAGTCGCATATTTACGCCAATTACTAAAGTTACCTGAAGGACCCCAAAAAACAAATGCTCCGACAACCGCAGCGACAGTTACGCCTGCAGCCATTAAAATTTTTTCGCCTTCCATTGCAAAATTCTTACGTTTATTTATATTTTTTCCAGCTTTTCACATATTTTCTTCTCGATATCTGACTGTTCCTCGCCAAATCGGACTTGCCCAATGTCATAAAAAAATTTATAATTGATTTTAGAATAAAATACGGCAGTACTAAGAAACAGCTGATCTAACGAATGGTAATACTATGTTCACGTTGAGCCGTTAACTGGAGTTTAACTCTGAACTCTGCTCTTATACGGCTTTCTCACGCCACCCAAATTACGTAGTTCGCTCTCTAATTCGTAATTCACACTCTAACTACCCTTTATCACTGCAATTATTTTATATCGATATAAAAGCGTGCAATTGTCCGGAAGTTATGTAAACGGCTGGAAAGGCCGAGTTTCCAATCCGCGCTATACTTTTTGGGTTACTCCGTATCTTGATATCTCCTGGGTGGTCGGAAAGGCCGAGTTTCCGATCCACCCAGTCGCGTTTTCGTGACGGTCGGAAAGGCCTAGTTTCCAATCCGCCCAATTATTGTTTATTATCTAAGGGTTTTAATGTGCTTGGGTAGTCGGAAAGGCCGAGTTTCCGATCCACCTAGTCTCGATATCTTGGTGGTTTTGAACAAATCGCTGCCGTCTCTAATTTTTATCGGGAATTTATCAAAACCAGTTCGTAAATCAAAGCTGGCACCTTTTCTGAGTGCAAAAAATAAAGCTTATACATGTGTACATCAACAATTGAATACGGAAATTTATAAATACATAGCAATTACTAACATTTTGCATCAATTTTGTGGCGAAGAAAGAAAAAACAAAACACAGAGACGGAACAGTCCAATCGAATTAAGAATGCGCCCGTGGTAATGGGGTAATTGGCGATCGTAATTAGAGGAGCGAACAAAGTATTTCAGAATAGTGTGGAAAATGGTACTAAATTCGGAGTTTACAATACAAATAGGGGTACCGAAAAAATATCGATGCATCGCAAATATCCATGTTTTGCTTCGATGCATCGAAAATTTTCCACTCGATGTATGTCGTTCCGTGCATATGAGTTTAGAATATCAACAATCTTGCTATACAAAAACGCAAAATGTGGCTCGATAGAAATTTTTCTGCTAATTTTAAAATTATCTGGCGTAAGTTAAAAATAGAGAAGATATCAATCGTTAAAGCTTAATTTTTTGATTTTTTAAATATTAATAAATTCTTAACAGCATTACCTATTAAAAATGAAATGACGTCAAAATAAAGGTAACAAATTTGGCATTCATTTATGTATATAATTTATAAACGTTTTTATATCTTTAGTCAGAAAATACTTAAACAAAAAATATATATATATTTTTTTTTAAATAACATTTACATACAATTAATTTTAAAAGTTAGTTAGTATATACGTCGCATAAAAGGCTTCAACTTCTTAGAGAGACGCGCGTTACCTTGGACCAGTTGCGCTCTGGAAACTGTCGTCGCCTCAACAGCTACCTGTGTTGACTCGTACTCAATATCCCCAATGATTTCCGGCATTTCGAGACTCCCCGCACGACACCAACCACCCCTTCAAAAACAAACTTCACTCAACTAACACTCCTCTGCCATCGGTCCGACTAGGGATACGATATCGAACCGAAAGTATCGATATGGTACTCATTTAAAGTTTCGTTTTATAAATATCGGATACCCATAATATCAGAATAAAAAGACTCGATATTCAAAATATCGATACCAAAATAAAAAAAAATGTATCTGAATATAGGTCTCGTATATAGGCCGCTTGAAATTGAAGAACAGCTTCTCATAAAAACACAATCGCCGTTCAGAGTCGACACAACATTAAGGCGCACGCGACAAATCAGAGGAGAAGCTCGGCCAAACACTAATATATTAGCTGTTGATAAACTTGATAAAATAATAAATTTATGAATTTGATAAATGAACTGTCAAACTTTGTATGGACATCTATTTAACCAAAGTCAATTACTTTATTAAACGATTTTGGTGGATAAATGTATTAATTTCAGCAAAATTCAACCCTGATAGACTGCCAGATGGTCGTTTTTGCTATGAACACATTAAAAGCAAATTAGCAAAATGGATGAGGTAAGAATGAAACGTAATAAGCCTATCTGGTTAAATAATAAACAATTTTGTGCAATTATTTACCAAGGTGCGTTCATGAAAGAATGCGGATAAACTGCTAAATTTATCCCTTTATCCCTTACTTACTTAATCATTTATCAGAAGCATCCTTCACACTGAAAAAAGTAATTAAAAGTCTCAAAAACGCAAAATAGCTACAGCGAAAAAATGATTTGAAAAATCGCATAAATTCAAATGCGGATGCTAATGACGAAAGGATCGGTGCCTTATCTATTATTTATCGGAAATATATCGAAGCCTTCACCGGCCTGGTCACATTTGCTGGCACTTTTTGCTGGAAAATTAATTAATAAAATATTCTCTACATAAATGAAAATCTTTGATGATAACTTAAATTTTTGCCTCATCTTCGATATTTGCAGCATACCAAAATAATAAAAAATGGCGAAGAACAAGAACAAGTAGAGCTGCCAAACGAATTGCTAATGTGTGGCGTGGAAACTGGGTAATTCACGAATTACTTGGAGAGCGAATTCCGAATCGTACCACGGCATGATTCAATAATACATGGTTCGATAAACTGACAGTTGTCTCTCTCGCACCGCTCCCTTAGCAGTGGCACCGTGTTGCTTCTTCGCAAATTTACATGGAAACAGTGTAGCTTTGTGTGAAATAAAAGTATAAGCTTTTGTGCAATATGTTTATTTGTATATGCATATGAAGCATATTTAACTGATGAAAACATAAGCACTGGATGTTTACATCAATCTCATAGTAGTCTTATTTTAATTTTATTATAATAATAATAATAGATTGGCGCTTACACATATGTTAGTGTTTGGCCGAGCTTCTCCTCCGATTTGTGGCGTGCGCCTTGATGTTGTTACACAAGGCGGAGGGACCTACAGTTTTACGCCGACTCCGAACGGCGATTGTATTTTTATGAGAAGCTGTTTTTCATGGCAGAAATACACTCGGAGGTTTGCCATTGCCTGCCGAGGGGCGACCGCTGTTAAGAAAAAACCTTTTCTCTAAATTTTTGCGATGTTGCTTTGACCAGGGCTTGAACCCAGGCGCTGCGAAGTGGAAGCGCGCACTGAGTCATTTTGCAGTTTTTATACAGCTAAATAGCACATAAATTACGTAATTTACGTAGATATATCAATATTACCTTCAACCATATATGTAATACTTCTATATTGGCAGTAAGCTAACTTCTCAATGTGTAAGCATTCCGAAATCAAAGCGAGACAGTCTAGTACCGTTTTTGTCAATGTATTGTGTACTTGAGTGCCGTTTTTGTAGATGTGTTGTGTACATGTTTATTTATAAACGTATGTGTTCCTTTTCTTTCGTACGTGTTTATTGATATATCTGTACTGTAGTGTTTTCGGACGGTACTAGCTCTTACTGCCAATATAGGAGTATTACATATATGCCTTCAACATTTCGTTTAAAATGCCAGATTTCCTGCAAATAAATTAGAATGTACAAAAGGAATTTCACTACTAATTGCCTACTTTGCGTACTTTTCTACTACCATTTTCGCACCAAGAGATTTCATTCTGCCCCTTTCTCCGTCCTTCGTAAATGCGTCCTTTTGTAAGGGAGTGTCAAACCCCAGTTGTCAATAATTATCTAACCTTTTATTATTAGGTTCATTCCTTATCTTTTTGGACTAAAATCTGAATAGTGTCAAAATGCCAGAGCGTAAGCAAAATGCGCTCACTAAAAGAGA